AGCTGACCCCAGCCGAGAAAAATTATGCAACCGTGGAAAAGGAAGCTCTGGCGGTTAAGTGGACAGTCCTGGAGCTGCGTTATTACCTCCTTGGCTGTAAGTTCACCCTCATAACGGATCACGCGCCCCTACAATGCATGGCCCGGGCCAAGGACACTAACGCCAGGGTGACACAGTGGTTCTTCGTGCTCCAGGACTTCCACTTCGTTGTTTGCCACCGCACCGGAGCAGCCAACACCAATGCCGACGGCCTTTCTCGGATCTGGTCAGCTTTTGCAGGTCTGCGTCCCGAGTTCTCATCAGCGTTGCCCTGGAAATGGATGAGGAACACCTGCACGTGCTCATCACGGGCTGATCGGTCACAGCTGAGAGTCATCAGCCCGCGGCCAGATAAGCCGCGTGAGGCCCGACGGTCGGGAAGACAGACATACTCTCCCTGAAGCTGAGATCTAACGCGTTCTCTCCTTTACATTCCAGAAACCAGCGTGTGACCAATCAGCCCGAACACGAGCGCCAAACAGACTCGCCGCCACTGGAGCTCACTCACGGAGAAGCACCGACTCACCTCAGCACCCACCTCCCTCACTTGGACACTTGATTTGTGAATAAATCCACCCTCCGGGGTCTTTATTTGAGCTCTCCTTGTCGTGTGTTCCTTCCACCCCATTACAATATATACTTAACTTATCAGAAAAACTAAAAACATATAAATTTATTCTCCTTAATTGGCTTACATTTTTGATGTATCGGTACATTTTGTCACATCCTCGCGATGTCTCCAGTCTTCAGTCTTTGCAGTGGCTATGTTTGCCCTGGTGCACTGCAGGGATTTCTGCAGGGAGACATTTTGATCCTATTTCTCAGCAGGCCCACAGAGATTTGTCTAAGAGAAGTGTCTGATATGGTAAATAGGTGCAGAATTATATAAATAATTTAAGGGTGTGTTCATTAATAAAACCTACTTTACAAGTCTCAGAGAGATGCAAGCTCGTGAGAAAGTGCTGACAATTTTCACCAGAGATGAACAAGGTCGAAACCGGGTCACTTGCTGCTGTGGCACAGATGAGTATCTGTTTGACCTCTAAACAGATTAATCATAACAGAGAGGACTGAACCCCACCTTGCTTGTGCATTTTTACTTTCACACACAATCAAAAACCCTCACTTGCTGTTCATCATCTTTTTTCACAAGGTCTTTTTTAACCTCTATTCATTTATCTCTGATGAAAGCCTACATTACAAGGACTCAGGATCAGAAATACAGGCCATTCTTTGTCAAGCTAACAGCTATAATGGAGGCACATTTACACATAATGGATATATCAGATAGTAAATGTCAAAAAAGGACTTTAGCACCAAAATATCAGGATCAATGATCTCAAATCGAGATCTGAGGAATAGTCATAAGATGACATGCAAATTGCAAGACGTAAATGTGCGTGTTAGTATGAAGGGAAGTGAGGCTCTTCTTAAGTACATCAAAGCAAAGGAGACCTTTCAGTCTAATTAATTTGTCCTTTATAAAAGGATTAAGGGCTCAGACTGTTATATATTCATCAGATAGCTTGGGAAAGCTAATGGATTAATCAATGCTTGCTGCAACTGGTGGATGCTGTTCACAGGATTAGTAACATGTACATTGCAGATAAATAGCAGGTAACATATTGCATCAGTTGTATCAGTCAAAGTTTAATGACATATATTCCTAGAAGGGTGAAAGCTGTTGTGTCTGAACCAGCTGTTGATATAAATGGTTATGACATCAGGGCACCTATTGGTAAATCACAAATCTTTGCATAATACTAAACCATACAGGATAGTGAATTAGTTAACACACAAGAAAGCAACAGTACAAACTGTGCATAATACTGTTGAAATGAAAGTCTGAGATAACAGCAAGTCTGCCAGTCGATATTATTAAGTGTTTTCCAATACAATAATGTGCCTATGTAGCTTTAAGCAGAGCTGTTAGCGCCATAATTTCCTTTCTTTGCTTAAGACCCCCAGAAAACAAAGATTAATTTTATATTCAGGAAATATCAAAGCCAAGAAACCATGGATAGATAACACTGTTGAGTTGTATATTTTGAGAGTGGGAAGAGCTGATAATAATATCCTTAATATTATTATTAATAATAAACAGATATTATTTTCCTTCTGTCTTAATGACTGAGATGTTACACTCATCTCAGAATTTTTGTAGCATTTCACACAGGAGGAAATTTATATATTGGATCATAATTATGGAGGTCCAGGTGTTAAAACACTTTATTTTACTTGCAATTGTACTGGAATTGCCCTTATGGAAATTTAGTTCTTGCATACTCATATATTAACCCTTATATTTCTACTGCATATATTCATGTATATCAACGCTGCACTGTAGTAGGCCCTGTGGACTTTTAGAAACTAACCTCTCCAAGCACATTTTCTCACTCTGGAATGGCAGCCATGACGGGATGAGACTCTGGTGTGACAGCCAAAATATATATCAGGCAGGCAGTGCTCCTGTCAAGTAACAGCATGTTATTAGTGCTTCCGTGATCAGTCTCCTGAGGCATTTCCTATAGTGACACATCTTGCTCCTGTTATCAGAGAACGTCTCAGGTTTTGCCTGCAACCCCTGTTCCCCGAGAAGGGAACGAGATGCTGCATCATATGATAACACTTTGGGGAACACCTTCGGTGTGCAAGCGTCTGAAGCTTGTGTGAAACTAGTCCAATCCTGATTGGTGTTTCCTATAGTGAGACATAACTCGCTACGTGGCATTTGACAACACATACGGAAACTACAAAGGGACGCCGGTACACAAGCTACCTCAGGCATACCGAGGTGAGGCAAAGAGATGCTGCATCTCGTTTCCTTCGCAGGGCACAGGGGTTTACTGTTATATCCTGAGATGTTCCCCTTTGAGGGAACTCAAGCTGTGTCATACCTAGTGTGAACTGTCCAGACACAATTTAGGACGAGAGCACCTGTGCACCCAGTGTAGAAGGAAGGTGTAGACTGTAAAATCTCATGAAAGTATGTGGGGTGGCCCAGTCCGTAGCATCACAGATTTCCTGCAAGGAGACACGCGAAAAAAGGGTTTTAGAAGATGCCATACTTCTAGTGGAATGTGCCCTAATGGCCAGAGGTGAAGGCATACCGTGCACCTGGTAGGCCAAGTAGGCACCTGGTAGGCCTCAACAATCCAATTACTAATAGTTTGCTTAGAGGATGGGGATCCCTTCCTGGGGGACCAGAAACACACCAATAACTGATCTGACTTCCTCCATTGAGAGGACTTCCAAACATACATCTCCAAAGCCCATACAGGCCAAAGCAAATGAAGCCTCTCTTGGTCTGCCGACACATGTGGTGGAGGATGCAAGGCCTGTAAAAATATTGACTGGGCTACTTAGCCTGGTCTAGGATGCAGGATGACTTTTACTCTCCCAGGAGTGAACTCCAAGCAGAACCTAGCAACAGACAAAACTTGAAGGTCCCCAACTCGCTTGAGGGACATAATAGCCAACAGGAAAGCCATCTTTAGCGTGCCATGTTTCTCTGACGCTGACTCCAACGGCTCGAAGGGGGCCAGGGATAACCCCTCGAGAACCATCACCAGATCCCACGTTGGGACGCTGGCATGAGCCACAGGCCTCATGCTCCATGCAACACAGAGGAACCGTATGACCAACTGGTGCCTCTCCAGAGGCCCATCACTTAAAGGGGTGTGGAAAGCTGCTATTGCTGTCTCTAATGATAAAGCTTGGCTTAAATTGCCCCTATTATGCCATTTTTAAGGTTCCTAATATTGTTTTGAGAGTCTCCTACAATAGGATTACATGCATGCAAGGTCAAAAATGCTTTTGTTTTCTCAAAATATGCATTTAATATCACCTCATTTTCCAGCGATTCTCAAACGATTCGTTCAAAGCAGTTCTAAGATCCAGTCTCTCTAAATCCCTCCTTTCCGTGAGCCTACTCTGCTCTGATTGGTAAGATGGCCCAGTCTGTTGTGATTGGTCTACCGCATACAGCGCGGGTGTCGGAAACGTTACGCATATTGCAGTAGTTCCGTATTTTGAATGTTCGATAGAAAATATAAACATCTATTATTTATTATACTTGTGATTCAGTGGAGCCAACTGGTCCAAATAAACAGGGTACTGAGCCATCTTTCAAGAGCAAGCATCTAGTGAACCTCGTTGAACTCCCCGAGATTTTTTTTTGAACTCCCCGAGATTAGAGAAGCAGTCGTCAGTAAAATGACGTGTTTGTGGGCGGGGTCAAGTTGTTTGCTGCTGGCCAACGTAGAACATAGGCAGAAATTAAGCAAATGTGTTACTCTGTGATGGCTACCCCATGACGGCTAAGTGGGATTCTAATTACTAACGACTCGTTTAGGCTGTAGAGAGTTGATTCTTTATTTTGGGAGACAATAACTTATCGTGCACTTTTGGCTTTACAACTTTGCTGATCGTTTGCATTACACACTGAATGAAAGGCAATGTTGGGAATGGCATAATAGGGGCACTTTAATGAATATTAGATCCCTTTCTATGAAAGAGCTTTTTGTAAATGATATGATCACAGATCATAAACTAGATGTGCTATGTTTGACAGAAACCTGGCGTAAACCAGATGATTACATTACTTTAAAGTACCCCTATTTTTTTCTTTAATGCAGTGTGTAACACAGCTCTAAGTGAATGAAAACATCCTGCAAAGATTTAAATCTGAAAGTGCACTGTGTATAAAGTTATTGTCTCTCAAAAGAAAGAGTCGACTCTGAGTCATTTAAACGAGTATTTTTTCAAACGAATCCCAAGTTAACATGAAACATTAACATATTGCCTGCCCACTTGTTGCGCGCGCAGACCCGGGAAAACTCAATAACAACCAACTGCAGAACCGCAGAACCATACGTCATGACAGTCTGAGGACAACAGCGCCAGACTAACAGTCTGAGGACAGAAGTGGGCGGAGTAGCAGTATCAGATCGTAAGTGGATGGAGTTCATGTAAACTAATAATGGTGGAAGACACGGTAAGAAGTTAATCACAGTATAGTTACGAGAGCTCAGTCAAAAGTTAATAAAAATGGAATCATCATGGCGGAAGAAGAGAAAACGGTAAAAAAAAGAGAATTGCCTTTGTGTATTTAATCGATTGTTTTTGGATTAACGCTTATACAAAATGGCTCTAAGTATTTTGCAAGTGGGCATTGTGACGAAGGCACTTGAGCACGTAGTTATTTTGCAATTGGATTGTATCACTTTGTTAGGTTACATATTCATGATTTGGAATTTTCATTTGTTATTGACGTTGTATTTTACTGCAATTGTTAAATTTTCTGACTTTGAGAAATGCTTTAAATGTATTTGATTTCATCTATAGAATCATATAACGATTCAGAGAGGTTCAGCAGTACCACCTTTGGAGCAATGCACAACATGCTGCAGAAATTTTCACTGCCCTTTTTGTGCTAGCAGTATTTTTAACCCGACAAGACTGGACAAATTGAATAGTCACATCAAAATTCACTTCAAAAAGGCTGTTGTGCATTGAGGTATGAACGTCTTATTATATTACATCTAATATTATGTAATAGTAGTCTGGTTTTCTGCATGATTAGGTCAAAATTGGCCATTAAAGTCAAAAGTTTAGACGAGCAATACGCACAAACACTCTAATAAAACACAAAACAGTTATATATTTGTATATTTGTATTTTATAATAATATTTCATATCTTTGAACACATAACACTAAACATTTTAATACACAACGCGGATAAGTTTTGAGTAGGGTTGGAGTTACACTCTGAAGCACCCTGGACCTCCAGGAACTGAGTGTTTACTATTTTTTCCCCCTATATTTCAGATTTAACATTTCACAGATGTGGACTGGGCTGCAGACCAACCCAACATTTCCACTGTCTCTACTGTACAGCCACAATTCTAAGGAAATTTGTAAATCAAAGCAGCGTAAAATGCTGTCAACCACTAGTGCAAAATTTACTGTCCCAAGGGTCGCGACCATGCCAGCGACGACAACTGGGACCCCATCAGCCACCAGCACAGTTTGTAACATGCCAGCGACGACAACAGGGACCCCATCAGCCACCAGCACAGTTTGTAACATGCCAGCAACGACAACTAGGACCCCATCAGCCACCAGCACAGTTTGTAACATGCCAGGTAGGGTTCGTGCACAGCCTGTTATTAAACAGAAATGCCCACTGTGCAGTACCCTCATGAATAAAAAAAAAATACAGAAACATATTGACCATAAACACACAAATCAACCAATTCAGGACATTAATGCCAGATTCCACTTTGCAAGTCAGTGTGTGGACAAATCAAATGGCATGTTCATGTTCTCTTTTGTTAGTTTTGACTGCTTTTATTGTCCTCATTTGTAAGTCGCTTTGGATAAAAGCGTCTGCTAAATGACTAAATGTAAATGTTCACCGTGCTTAATGATGCAAGAGGTCAGAGTACTCCTCTTCATGTCCAATACAAAACATGAGGATAACAACAAAAAGTCTGCTGCGAATCAAATGAATGCCAAGTAAACATGGAAGTAGCACAGAGGGGTGGTCTGTTATCCTATCAGTGTATGCATGTCAGATCTGTAAGTCACTGCACATCCTCAGCTGAAGCAATCTCTCTAAAGGAAGATGTTTTAGCAGAAATGGTGAGAGCAAAGTGGTTTGGTGACGAGAAGAAAAACATATGCCTTGCTCGTCAACAGCTTGCCACTTCTAGCAGCGCACCACTTTCTGTAGAAACCTCAACTGGCAGCCCTCAAACAAAAAAGTTAATTTCCGTTTTTGAGTCAAATGTGTCCTATTATAGCCGTTTGGGGCGTGTCGTTGTTTACAACACCAAATTAAACACATGGCACTGCCCCTGTTCCAAAGTGTACCGTTCGTGTCCGCATAAGTAGATTGCGAAATGGCATTTCAAACAGACCGTGAGCTTTTCCGTACTGTCTTCAGCAGAAAAGAATCACCACCCCAAAAGGCACATACACATTCAGAGGAGAGCAATGTCACAGAAGACCATCCTTTGTATCCTCCACATGATCTGTGACTGAAACAAATAGTGCAGTATATTCTACAGCACAAGAAGATACCTGCTGTCCTACCAGACAACATACGTGCACCATCACCAGGCAAAGAATACCCAAAATATCTTTGTCCTGAAGAAACCATGTGTCAGAGATGCCCAGGTGTTGTCCCCCTCAGTGACCCTATTCTGATTACAAAGAGGGCTAAAATACTCTCCAACTGGGGCATTGTTGAAGGTAGGATGGTGTTATTAATATGCATATGTGCTATGCAATTACACTGTCCTCTGATGCAATACTTGTTTTGAATCATAGATGTATTAACCTACTGTAAGCAGTGCCCACTGTGTGGAATGTTTTATCGCTACCAAGAGTGGAAAGACCAACTCCACAACTTTAACGATCACATCCTCCTTGACATACATTTATGCCTAACCCTAAGAAACCTTCTACATGTAAACTTCAATGTATGAATGTCTTCGGTAAGAACAGTTCTTTTCAATGTGTACATTTTTTTTTACAGGTCCATACTGCTGTAAGCAGAGCAGTTGAGTTTTTAGAAAATCAGACAGGTGTGAAGTTTTCACCAGCAGACACAGTGCTTCATGCGTACTTGCACCTTGAGGCCCTTACAGATCACAAACACAAGTATACTTGCACTACTTGTGGTGATCACCCCGCTGTGGTGATTATGGATTTACACAAAAAAGGTGTTTTCCATTTATCAGGTATGACTACTGTGATACTCCACTTGCTAATTGCGCTTACATTAACATTTATGTATTTGGCAGGCACTTTTATCCAAAGCGACTTTTTTGCCTTTTTTTATATGTTCATTGTAATTTGCCTTTTTAAAAAATAGATTTCTCAGTTTTACCTTGTTATAATGAACTATTTTTTCACTCTTTAGTAAGTGACATCCAGGGTCCTGCAGAGAATTTTGACGGGGATGTCAACCTGGAAATTTTTTGGGAGGCCATATCCTGTGATATGATTGGTCGCGGATTTGTTGCGAATGTGGCGGGGCGGTGCAATTTTAAGGCACCCGCCCAAGTTGGTACTGGTAAGAAAATCCGACTACGGCACCCTAGGAATTAAACCCAGGGAAAAATACTCAAACCACGCAAATTGAGTAATAAAGCACACAGGTTCAGTTCCCTCAGAGAATTAGGCAAAAGACATGGGTAAAGTATCAAACAAATACAAATGTTTATTAATACAGAAATAAGTTAAAATATTGGACACTAAAATCAACAGCGCACTAGAAGCCCCACTTCAAACATGAAACAAATTACAACCAGAAGAGTAGTAATAATACAAACCAACTTTATATACACATGTAACAAGTCAGTATATCTGTAAAACAAAAACTGAAATACCGGCAGGGCTGAGGTTCCCAGCGGCAGGGATCAAGGTAGAGATTGATTTTACATGGGCACTTCCACACATACACACACACACAAGTGCACTCTGATCACACCATAAAACACTCAAAGGTGTAGCACCACACACGATAGAGAACCACCACCAGGAGGAGGAAAATCAATCCACCCGTGGAACCCCAGCTCCTGCAATAAATCAAAAACAAAATAAACTATACAAATGGGCCTTAGACACAATGCAATATGGACATCACTTAATGAAGCAACACCTCACGACAGGGCATCCATACCAGACAGAAACCTTAGAAGGAATGAATAATTAGTCACCTAAGATTACTACAAAACTCAAACTCAGTAAATCCACAGAAGAAAATAAAATAAAATGGTTTAAATCAAAAGAAAAACACAAAAGCAGAGGCCAATCATTATCTTGTATGCAAACGAAAAGAGATAATCAAGCCTCCCATAACAAACAAAACAAATGTAAAGCAGGGCACTAGAATGGCACGATAGGGAACAAATGAGCAGTCCCCTTCACTGGCGACGACAGCGTCTGCGCGGCTGTATAGACAGCAGCTCTTTAACAGCGCGAAGCCAGCAGCAAATAATCACGGCATAGAGCGAGAGGGAGAATCCTACCACGAACCCAAAAGGAAATATTACTAATCATAATAATTTCCCCCACTCCCAATTATAATTGCATTTAAAACCACTTACCATCAGGATATCACGCCAGATAGAAAGCTTTAGCGGCACAGGTTTATCACAGTCATACCAACCGATAGCACAATGGGATACCGGACATCATGCCTATTTAGCATGCGACAAAATGTTAAGCCCCATAAGCATGCTAGCCCAGCATAACGAGCTCTTAAAAACCACGTACCTGAGAGGCGAACAGTCATTGAATACACTAAGCAGCATCGAAGGCCACCAGCACCAGAACAAACGACGCACCACAGCCACCGCCAACACAGGCCAGCAAAAAGGGAAAAACGGACGTGACGCTTCCCAGGTGACAGCCAATCGGCCAATCGGCCAAAGATACAACTCACTAATAGGCAACCACTGCTGTCAATCACCTAGTCCCGTCACATCAACATCAGCCTCTCAGCCTCTTGACCAAGTGGGCTGCTTACTTGCTTTTGCTCTCTTTGCCACAGGTTCTTTTGCACTGCGTCCCCTTCCTGTGCGAGATGCAGGTGAAGGCGAGAGTGGTGTATTCACAGTCCTAAAAAAAGTGTTGTAAACAAATGTTAGCATTTATTTTTCA